ACGACCTGGCGAAAGCTATAAGGCGTTGGACGGAAAAAAAACCATGACAGACGTTCAAGTGCTTTCAATGTTTTTGTTTTTCGATTTCTCAGAGCGAAATCGGCCGCAACTGAGGAAAAAAGAAGAAAAAAAAGTTTTTGTTTTTCGATTCGAACATGGCCAAACAGCAGCTCCAAAAATGGGAGTTGAAATTTGTCACAGAACTCGAGCCATTGGAAGGGACCTCTCCCGTAAATCCATCTGGAATCTGGAAAAGACATCTTTACTGCAGTTTTGCGTGAATTTTTCAAACAATGTGGTGAGCATGGCAAAGCCAGCGAGATACTAGCGAAAACTAACGATTTGAAAAGCGCTCTAGCAAGTCCCCATCAAAGGGGAGGACCTCCGGTTTTTCATACTTTTGCATCTGCAACTGCGAGCTGGGCCTGAAGTGCACCAGCTGCTCACGCTTCCCTTTGGAGAAACTCACAGTGTCTACAGTTCCTTGCCCGTTTCATTTAATATAATACCATTGCGACCCGAGGATTGTACCTGCTCACCACAAACTTTTGTGATGACTAGATTTTGGCTTCCTTGCCCGGTAGTGTTGAGTCATCAAAGAATGCCATGGAACTTGTATTCACATTGACAGGCTGGCAATTTGCAACAGATGGAAAGAAGAGTACGATGTTTGCTCAGTGTGCAAAGCTTTGGGAGTGGAATTTGACCTCTCCCGTTCTGGTGAGTACAGAGCAGCGCATCCAGGACTTGAAAGATGTTTTGGAGTCCACGTTGAAGGCAGGAACGCTTGGAAAGAACAAAGCTTTGATGTTGGGGTCTCTGGCTCTCAAACTGTTGTCTGAGCACGCATATGGTCGCCCGCCAAAGTTGCTGCAGGAACTGAAACTCGCTTTAACTATATGATGATGCACCGACTGGAGTCGGGGAAACCCATACTGATGACTCTGCTGTGATGCATAAGCCATCACTTTTCTTCGACTGAGCTGGCCCTGTTCACAATGCCTGTTTTGCGCTTTGTGGGTTTTGTTGTTGTTTGGTGTTTGCTTTCGGTTTTTGCTTTTTGTCTTGTTTTGTGTCTTGTTTTTCGGCATTGTGACTACCATCCAGGACTGTGTAGCCTGTCCTTACGCCAGATTTCACTGTTGGGTATATTGATGCGCTGGAAAGGCTTTTGTATCATGGCCCAATAGTTGCAGTTAATTCATTTCATGCACTAGCGTGTTGATCGACCTGGCGAAAGCCAAGAGGCGATAGACGGAAAAAAAAGACTGGAATCGGGGAAACCCAGGCTGGTGTCTGCGCGGCCTCGGGAGCAATGGTTTATTTACACTGATGCTGCCTACAACCAAGAGGACAAGACTGGCGGATTAGGTGCCGCACTTTTCAACGAGGGAGCTGTTTGCATTGTTGGTTTGGTATACCTTTGACAAAAGAGCAATGTGCACTTTTTGGTGCGTTGGAAAGGCAGACAATAATTTATGAGTTGGAACTTCTTGCAAGCATTCTGGCGCTTGACTTTTGGCGTCTTGTACAAACACTGGCTTGCAAGTGTGCTGATGGAGCAAGATTTTCGCTGATCCGTGGGTCGTGCTTGAACCACACTGCTGCACGGCTCAAGAGACTGAGAATAACATGTGTACCTGGTTGGCCAGGGTGCCGACAGAAGCGAACATAGCAGACTATCCGTCAAGGAATATGCCTCATGTTTTGTTGGAACCGAAAGTGGATGAATCTACGGCTGCGGTGCTCTGGTTTCAAAAACTGCTGAGCAATTTGAGAATGGGACCAACCTGACCTATGGGGGTGTGCAGACATCTTGGTCCCACTTAGAAAAAGGAGTTCGCTTTGCCTGCACTCATGTGGCCAACTCGAAAGACCAGACTATTTTGTCTTGTCGGCCCTCTCCTGTGCGATGTGCCTTCCGCTATGGCCAGCAGATCTGAGTTCTTTGACTATGCCCGCCTGAGCTCGAGCAGCTAGAATTATGGAACAAGCGCAACTTGTCCCAGCGCATCGTCGACCCCCGCATCCTGCCTGGAAAGCTGCGATTCGGTTCTTCTTGAGGTCTACCCTACTTCTTTCTACTCTAATCATCTCTCGCCTTCTCTACTCTACACAGCTTTACTCTGCTTTAACTCTACTTCTACTCTACTGTGCTCTACTCTACTCTAGTAATTAGTCTCTCCTCTTCTCTACGCAACTCTGCTATACTCTGCTCTTCTCTACTCTACTCTTCTCTAGTCTACACAGCTTTACTCTACTTCTACTCTACCCCTACCCTACCCTACCTCTACCCTTACTCTACTCTACTCTGCTCTACTGTACCCTGCTCTACTCTACTCTGCTCTGCTCTACTCTGCTCTGCTCTCTCTGCTCTGCTCTACTCTACCCTACTCTACCCTACTCTACTCTGCTCTCTCTAGTCTTCTCTGCTCTACCTCTACGCTGCTCTACTCTACCTCTACTCTACTCTACCTCTACCCTCCCTCTTCTCTACTTCGCACAGGTGCCCACTGGACACAATGATCTTTGGGCTAGTGAGAATGTGACTTAATGATCTCTTAACGCAGGTGCCAACTGGACAGACTGATCTTTGGGCTAGTTAGAATGTGACTTCATGATCTCTTAAGGCACATGCAAGCTGGACAGAATGATCTTGGGCTAGTTGGAATGTGACTTCATGATCTCTTAAGGCACATGCCAACTGGACACAATGATTTTGGGGCTACTGAGAATGTGAAAGTCCGTAACTCGGAGTTTCCTCCATGAAATTTCCTCTGACAATTACCCGTACATTATGCTACACTACAACTACAACTACAGGTGCAAGTACAACTACAACTACAACGACATTATTTTACAGTACACTACACTACACTACACTAGGCTACACTTCACTATACCACAGTACAATACACAACACTACGGTAGACTACATTGCACTAATTACACATTGCAACTGCAACTGCCACTGCACTACGCTAATTACACTACATTACAATTACGACTCCACTACACTATATTTCAACTACAACTACGATTGCATTACACCACACTACATCCAGCAGTTGTGGTGAGGTGACCCCTGCAACCATTGCAGCCACTCCAAAAAACACAACTCCAACCACCTTTCGGTCCATCAGTGGATTCGCTCTGCCCTCCGTGATTCACAGCAACCTCTCCTACAGGTTTCTTATTTTTGAATCTTCCGCCACCGCGTTGTGCGGTACTACTGGCATGGGACAGGTGGTTGTGAGCAAAATCGACAGAGGCAATGAACAAAAATACATCCATTCAATTCAAAATGTTCCAAGGCACTGTTGCGGCAATATTTTCGTTTGGAGATTTTGTAGTTTTTTGGAGGTCGGAAGAATGAACATTGTATTGGTTATTTGGAAAACCTTTCCATCTGCGCACAGCCGACCGTTGCGATTGCAAATGTTAGTGTGTCTTGTTTTTTTGGGTTCTGGGTAACGACAAATTTGATACCGATTTGCGTAATGTTTTCGCACACCGAAGCAAGATGGGTCACCATCATGGACCCATTGGTGGTGACAAAAATGTTTGTTGATGGTTTTTGGTCGGGCCATTGCAGATGAACAATCCGACAATCTTTACGTTTTTATTTAAACGAATTTCTTTGATTTTGGGGAAAACATGTAAGCAACCATTGGATTTGTGCAGTTTTTGGATACAAATTTAATTTTTATTCAGGTTTGATAGATGCAAAAAATAACGTAACCCATAATGTGGAACATACTTCCAACATTGTTGACGTTCATTTTCTCATTTTATTTCCACTCGATTTTAGGCAACAAAAAAATATGCCAGGCAAATGTGACGTACGGTGAGTGACTAGGCGTGAAACATTTTCTGGCAAAAATTCGTGGCTGAAAAACATGAAAAAAAACACTTTGTGGGAGGGGAACTGCCAGTTTGTTGATGTAGTAATCTAGTGCACCCAACGATAATTTGTATGACTGTATGACTCGTATTATTGGTGACCTTGGGAATGATTTGTGACTAGTTTTACCAAACAAATTTATGTTACCTGTCCGCGTGCTGGACTCGTTGGTTACAGCGGCCGTGACTACCCCGGATGCGTCCGCTCCAGCTTCTAGTCAGCTGCTTAGCATTCAGTCGATGTAGAGATGTGGAATTCCTAGCAGTCCCCTAAAAAACGCAAACATGACCAATGCAATAGAAACCAAAGGGATAAAACATTTTTTTGGTTTTTGGGCGGATTGATAAAACACGCCAATTTATTGGACAATTTCCAAAAAACCATCGGTCCAAACTCTGGGCACACAAAATCATTGTGCACAGGCAGCATGGGTTGTCGTTGCGGATTGTTTACTCTGGAGGAGGATGTTGGCCAAAAACGTATAATATCACAACAAACTTAGATCTGCTGCTGGTTGGAATATTTACACACTGAATGTACTTGACACGACCTCAAATTTATGTTTCAAATTTTGCGAAAACGTTCCCTAAGACCCTAGGAGTATTTGCATCGTTGCCACCTTTACGTTGGATGTTGTAAATTTGAATATCAAAAAAAACACCATAAGAAACACCTCAGTGACTCTGGAGAGACTGGTAAGGTTATGCAAGACATTGCCGATTTTTCATATGGTGTTGTCTCCAAATCCGTAAACCCCAAATCCGCAGCTTATCATCATTTTCTCAACTAAAGTTGGTGTTCTTAGCGTGTTCCCATTTTGAGACAAATCCTCAGTGGATCCTGCAATTGCTCTCATCACTGGGTGAAGAAGGCTCAGCCACTCAGCCCTAGCTATCTGGAGGTGGCCCTAAAGGTCGAGTGCCATTGAGAGTCTGAAATGTATGGAAAATTCTATTGTTAGTATCCTTCTTCTTATTATTACTGCTATTTACCAGTCTTATTATGATATTGACTTGTTTTGCAAATGTCTTTCAACCATTTGTTTTTCTCTGACTCACATTGCATTGCCTGATTTGCTGATTTGTTTGGAACCCAGGACATGGCTTCTGGCTTCGATTGGAAACGAAGTTTGCATCCCGTGTCCTGGGGTGGTTCTAGGGATCCTAAAGATCACAGATTGGTTGCACTTTGCTCAGCTGGTGAGCTCGAGCAAAGTTGAACTGCCACATCCAGGTACAAAAGGCCAGTTGGCAAGAGTTGTGGGAAAAGGCCTGGTGCCGAAGTACTTTTCAGATTCACTGGGCCAGATTCAGATGAAGGGAAAACAATACACCCTGCGGAGTTTTCCTTCATTTGTTGGACAGAGAGGCGATTCGATGTTCTGCGAACACGTTTGTGCAATGCAAGCGTAACCCATCGGCTTGTATTCGCTTGTATTCGCTCGTAGCCGCTTGGAGCCACTTGTTGTCTCTTGTATCCCTTTTGCTACCAAGCTCATTTTTTCCAAAACCTGTTTTAATTTGTGTAAGAAACACCAAATCAACTTGCTATCCATATGCTGTGATGCCCACGACACTTTGTGTGGCGTGGGCCTCAACGTTTCAGTTTAATCGAGCTGGGAGGTGCAAGTGAAGAATACCTTCCTGCACTTTGTGCACGGGAGCATGGAAATCAATGAGGACCAGCAGAAGATGTTGAGACCTGCTGAGATTCCCTGAGATTCTTCTGGTGCCCTGGGGCTCAGACATATCACCAGGAGCCAGAGGAAGAGTTTCTGCCAGGGGCCTACACTACCACCGGACTCGCAGTTGATCCCTTTGTTCAGCAACTCTATAGCAAATTGAAAGTCCGAAAGACTATACTGACTATATCTGCCTATACAGTAACGACATGTCACCAGCCAAAAAGATCGAAAAGTGCTTGAACTGTCACCTTTGGATGCCTGCTCCCATTCTCTCCGGTCATGACCCAGGCTTCCCACAGCTCTGCGGCGCACCGCGTCAGACCCGGGAAAACGCGGCATGAAGGATGAGGTCCTCGCTGCAATGCGGAAATGGTTTGGAAAATCTCCAGCGGTTGGTACAGGTCGCATCGAAATTGCATTGAACATCATTATATGGCTATGGATCAATACCTATTAATACCATTTTTAGTGGGATGAACATCCATTTACCAGCTATTTTGATGTTCACCAGGGGGATAGGGTTTTGACCCATCCCCATATAGTATCATGGGGGATCTTTGAGAAAGATCACCCGACACCAAAAATGGATGCGATTGGAGATGATCTTCCGATCTTTCAATTTTTGGTGCCATTCGAATGGGACATTTTGCCGTTGAGGGTCGATGTTGGATTATTTTGGGGCCTGTTGATTTTGCTGGGTAAAGTCGGTAAAGTCTCCAACAAGTGACTGGTGGAAGATCATAGCCTGGAGTCCCTGGTTTGCCCACCGAATCACTCAATTTGATCGACTTGAGTGTGCCACAGTTTGTGAATAAACATAGCATATTTTTCAGTCATGAAATGCAGGAGAAAACGCTTGTTGAATTGCCATCAGTGGGTCTTCCTGGGTATACACCTTTCTCCAATTGCAAGGGCTGCCAGTCTTGGCAAACCAATTCATGCTGGCTTGACCAACAAGGAAACTGTTTGAAACGAGAAAGTGTTTCTTTGCAGGATCTTTTCCCAGGTTTGTGCCAAACAGTCTAGAAGAGATGTAAATCAGTGCAAAATCCGGCATGGCCGCATGGCCTAGCTGTGGGCCTTGGTTTAGACCCCAAAGCTATGATTGGATATGATTGGAGACGCCAAATTCGCATCGGAGCTCTATGATTGGAGCTTGTAGCACTAACAAAGTCAAAGACTTTTTTTGTCATTCTCAATTAATATGTTCCATATAATTATGATGATCACTATATTTTGGCTCAAAATCCCGAGCAAAAAAAACTTCCGTGCGTCGAGTCTGACGTGACCGAAACCACGGCCAGGTGGACACTGAAACTTCGACTGTGGCAACATCTTCCACGGGCTCAGGAGCACCAAAAGCCGGGGATGGGTCAACATCAATGAAGTTATTGGGGATTGATATGGATGAAATAGAACCAAAAAATCAGAGACAACTTGGGGATCTGATCAATTCGGATGAAACAAATCAGAGACAACTTGGGGATCTTCGGTCCAAAAACGGTGGTGTAAAGCCGCAGGGAATCTTGGGGATGGGTCCATATTTGCAGAGCGAAGCAGATATGAGTGGTATTGCTTCAATCTGAACCATGGCGATATCGGAAAAAAGAATTGGTCGGTGAAGCAGCAACTGACGGCTTGATTGGGATATGAATCTTATGAATCATGAAAATCAGGGACATTTTACTGAGCAAATCTATACATCCAATGAGTTTTCAGGCCGTGCCACACCACAGCTAGAGGAGAAGCTGGGGGGCCCAGGAATGCGAAGCACCATATTACTACCATATCCCAGAGGTTTTTTCAGTGGCAGTTTGCAGCAAGGTGGATGGTGCATCAAGCTGGCCGATGCCGGCCCTGTGGTTACTTCAATGTCAAGGTGGGCCGTTGGGGGTCTGGAGACTGGATGATACTGGTACCCTCTGATAAACTAACATAGCTATGGAAAATCACCATCTTTAATAGGTAAACCATCTATAAATGACCATTTTCAATAGCTATGTTAGTTTACCAGAGGGTATCAAGCCTGGATGAGTGAAGCCTGCTGCTTCATTTGTTTTTGACTCGGCCAAAGTCACAGAAATGAAGAAACATGATGAAACATTGCCATTCTTGAGGTGATTTTGGTACCACAAGATCCATCTACTAGCTTCAGATCATCCTAGGTTCCCAGCAGATCCTGAATATGATCAGCTTTGGAGTGGCAAGTGCTTAATCTCCAGCTTTCCTTATCCTATGCTTGAAATGTTGCTTCAAATGTTGCTTCAAATTGACACCTTCAGCCCAAAACACAGCAGCATCTGGCATCCAAACACCACTCTGACATTCAGCTCGTAAGCCAATTGCTTCCAACAGTCGACGCGCCGTTGCCTTCTCCAATCCCTTCTGCTCCAGGGAGATCGTTGTCGCCTGGGAGACGATTGTGAGTACTGCCATTTCTGCACAGAGCAGGACCGGCTGCTCCAGCCGGGTGAAGTGCAGCAGCTAAGCCGAAAGACCAGTGAAGGGTTTTTTCGTAGTCAGAAATAGGGGTGTAAATACTCCTAACTAGGTTTGTATAGGTTTGTTGACCGGTCAAATGCCATAATCAACAATCAACATCAATCAACCAGTTATAACTGAGAGAAGGGCACAGGCGATAGTACACAAGCTGAGCCTGGTGGACCCTGGGCGATGAAAAACCAGGCTCAATGGGAATCACTTTTGATAAAAACCCCAAGCAATCGCTTTTTTGCGCAAACCTTCAACATCTTTGTGCCATTTTGTGCCAAGGGTTGCAAGAAATATCAAGAAATACTCCATTCTCAGTGTGATATCTCTGTGGGTTTCTCGCCATGGCCATACCCCACCAACTCATCTAGGTGACCCAAAAATCCCTGCCGCGTGCCTCAAAGTTGGAACCCAAACCCCGTTTCGTTGGTGACTCATCCGGGTCATCCGCATTCCCAATTTTCAGAGAAACCATCAAACCCAAATCCAATTTTTTGCCATATGTGAATCAATGTGAATCATATGTGCCATTCATTTGCAAGCTTAGTTGGTGAATCTGAAATTTGTACTGCACTTTTTAAAAGCCACATGTCTCGGCACGTCTACCTATTCAGCAGGATCTGAAGACGCGCAAGCGCAGCTTCAAACGCAAAGTTCGTTCCGAGAAGCGTGCTGCAGCGCTGGGGTGCCAAGGACGGGAACTGTAAAGCACCCCATCCTGGTGGGGATATTATGATATGACCTATATGACCCAAAAATCATGAGATTACTAGCTGTTCTTACTTTTTGTCCCCTGAATCATGAGATTTTGGAATTTGCCCCAAACATCTGACTAATTATTACACATCTAGTGATGTGGAGCAGATGTTTGTCTCTGAGGTGCATTGCCCGGGCAGGTAGCAACCAAGCGGCCGACGATGAGGAGGACCTACATCCCCATCTGTGCACCTATCTCACTTGGCATGTAAAGCCCCAACCGTATACTCGTATACCAGTATACATGTCTACAATATTCTACAATATACAAGGTATGTGCAAGAATGTCTGACGGCGGGAGACGACATCCAAGTGGGTTTCCCCATGTTTTCCTGCTAGAGAAGACTCTGGGATGCCGCGCGATCTCACATGAGGTTATCCGAGGAAAAAAAATACAATGTGGGAAACCTTATGTTCACCACTTAGGCAGAATCCTATAAACTTGAAAATCAATTTATTTGTGAAAAAAATGTGAAAAAAATGTAAAACAAAAAAGCAACCAAAAAAAAAAAGCAAATCAAAATGCAAAAAAAAGCAAAAAAAAAGCAAAAAAAAAGCAAAAAAAAAGCAAAAAAAAGCAAAAAAAAGCAAAAAAAAAGCAAAAAAAAGCAACAAAAAACAAAAAAAATGAAAAACAGAAAAACATAGAATTAGATTTATATTTAAAATTAGTAAAGTTCTACTACAATTACTATAGTTATAATTGCAATCTCTTCAGAATAAGTAGACAATCATAATTATAATAAGTAGACAAAACATCAAGTCACTAGCTGGATGTGAAATCCACAATATCAAATTGGATATATCTGATATACGGATATAGTATTGAAATACAGATATCAGATATAGTATATTATAAAGTATGTAGCATATGGTATACAAAACATTTCATTTTTGAATCAAGCCTGGCCTCACAAAATTGCTTTGTCGCTTTGTGACATATTGGAAAAATTGTTTTGATGTTGTCAACTTCCCAAATTGAGGAAGTCTTGCAGAATTGCTTGATTTGGGAAAACAGAAAACATTACACAAAATTACAATGATCAGTACTACAACAATCACTACTACAACTACAACTGCACTCCACAACGCCGCTACAAGAAAATTACAACTTCAACCTAACCTACAACTACACACTATACAACCACAACTGCAACCTACAACCTAACTACATATCATTACATTACAACTACACCTGCAAGATACAAGACCTACAACTAGAAACTACAGATGCAACTACAACTGCAATTGCTGCAATTGTAACTACAACTTCAACCACCATCCACTACCACTACCCCTACAAAAAGTAGAATTACAACTACTAACTAACTAACTAACTAACAAACTAACTAACTAGCTAACTAACTAACTAACTAACTAACCAACTAACTAACTAACTAACTAACCAACTAACTAACTAACTAACTAGCTAGCTAGCTAGCTAGCTAACTAACTAACTAAGTAACTAACTAACTAACTATTCAATACAACAATACAATGAAATGAAATCCATTTCATTACAGCCATAATCAAAACACAACTCAAGCTACAACTACCACTATCACTACCCATACCCGTACCCCTACAATACTACAACTACAACTAGCAACTAGAATTACAATTGCAACTATAACCTTAACTGCACTACAAGTACAACGACAACAAACACTACCCCTACAAGTACACCCACAACTACAACTACCACTGCAACTGCAACTAGGACTGCGGCTGCAACTGCAACTACATTGCAAATTACAACTGACTTACAACTACAACTGCAACTTAACTACAATAACTACTAACTACAACTACAACTACGCTGCTACAACTACATTGCGCTGCCTCCAACCACTTCTCACTTCTCAATCCATCAGCAGGCTCGCTCTGCCATCCCTGCATCACAACTAACTAACTAACTAAGCGACTAACCTCTCCTAAATGGTTTTCTGATTCCGATATTTGAAACTTCCGCCACCACCTTTTGGTAATGATGGATAATGAGTAATGAAATGAGTAATGAAATGAGTAATGCGTAATAAGTAAGTAATGAGTAATTAATGATGCAATGTAGTTTAGTTTAGTAAAGTTTAGGCAGACGTGCCATATATTTGTGTAACTCTGCCACACTATCACTACCACTACCAGCTACCAAACTACAACTACAATTACATCCCTAAGACAACTACAACTACAACTACAACTACTACTACTACCCTTACTTACAATCTTACAACTGCAACCACAACTAGTCACGAAAGCTAGCTTGCTAGCTGGAGTTGGCTTTCCTTTAGGAATGTATTGGGGGCAGTCTTTGGGAAGAGGCAGTGATCTATCACATCAAAGGTTTCTGGCTGAAGTGAACCATTCGCATGAAGGGCCCCCCCCCCTCTGCAGGTTCAAACCCTCCCTGGTCCATGTGTTTTGAAGGGGTCACGGAGGGTCCCTTCTTTGGAGAGAAGACAGAGTGATGGATATCACAAGAGTGCAAGCACCCAATTTGGTATTGTCACATCGCGTTGACGCATCTTCTCCCGGGTTCTGCGTAACTTGACAAGACGCGGCTAATTTCATGACAACCTTTTGAAGCATTTGACATGCGACCGTGCCAAGTCACACCAATGCCAAGCACAATGTAGGGCCGGGGATGTAGCTTCCTTGGCCATACCGGGCCATACCGTTACCAGCCGCTTGTCTCACCCACCACCTCACTTCGTCCTAATCCAGTATCCGATTTGGTACTGCTATTTTGGCACCGCAACTTGAAAGCATCCGCTTTGCTTTCCCTCTTTTTGCACACTACAGCAAAGCATCCGATTTGGTACCGCTACTTTTGCGTCACAAATTCAAGGCCGCTGTACTTTTGACTTGAAAGCATCCGATTTGGTACCGCTCCCTTTGCAACACAACTTCCAAGCATCCGATTTGGTACCGCTGCTTTTTCACCACACTTCAAAGCATCCTATTTGGTACCGCTACTTTTGCAACACACCTTCACAGCATCCGATTTGGTACCGCTACTTCAGCACCACAACTGCAAAAAATCCAATTTCGTACCGCTACTTTTGCAACACGCCTTCAAAGCATCTGGTACCGCTACTTTTGCACCACAACTTGATACATTCGATTTGGTACCGCTACTCATGCAACACAACTTCAAAGCCTCCCATCTCCCACCGCTACTGTCCCAACATAAATGCGAAGCTTCCGATTTGGTGCCGCTGCTTTTGACTTGAAAGAATCCGATTTGGTACCTGGTACCATGCCAAAATAACACCGTAGAATCCGTAGAACTGTCTTGCGGCGTGCCAACATAACAGAAATCAATGCGTTCTCTCAGCTGCCTCACTCAGAAATCTCGTTGGTTTACCCTTCCCACTTTCAAATTGATAATTTTCGTTCCCTTCCCCTTTGGCCTCAAGTAACTACAACTAGAATTACAACTGTAATTACAAGTATAACACTATAACTTAAACTTAAAATTATTATTATTATTAATTCCGCATCAGTAATTCGATACGATGTTTCTGAGCAAATGTGGGCGTAACTTCTGCGTGGGAAAGTCGTATGTGGAAGAGTTAAGACAGAATCACGAGTTGAGTTGTCTCTTGAAGGACTGCCAAGGTTGTGGGAGAGGTGGGTGTGCATGAGTCGGTTCTGTGAGGGTAAGTTGTGCATGGGTAAGCTGTGTGCGTGTGTATGTATGTTGTGTGTGAATATATGATATTAATCATGCTGATAATGTAAGGGTGTAGTGATCAATGATTAATGTAATGATATGGAAAAGTGGTTGTGTATGTATGGCTCAATTGAGAGCAAGTTGTGTGTGGGTAAACGTTGTGTCGCATGTCTGTGAAAAAGAGTTGAGTTGTGGTTTGAGTCGACTTGAAGTCATTGAAGGTGTGAAAGAATTGTGTACAGTGTACAGTGTTCAGTGTAGTGTATAGTGTAGTGAGTCAGTTGTGTGTGGGTAAGTCGGGCAGGTGGTGTGTGAAAGGTTGGAGGCAGGAGGGAGGCGGTGGCAGGCATGCAGAGCAAAAAAACAAGAACCACACACACACAGTGCCACGGGGCACAACATAGCGTTACCAAGGCAAACCAAATAAACTGATATAATATAATAATATAACTATTTTTTCAAACAATGGTTACCGGTTTAGATAGTTTAGTTGCTTAGCTTTAACTGATTTAGTTGGTGATGCTCATATATGGAATAGTTACCTGATAGTTGATGTTGTGATTGTTTGTTATATGGCTAGCGGCTAACCTAACTGAAAACATAGCTGAAAACCGAAAACCGTTAAACCAAAAACGTCATGGAACATATGTTTTTGGACCATGTGTTTTTTTCATGTAACTTGTAAATGCAGTCGTGTGGTGTCTTCGACTTAGACATCTGGCCGGGTGGTGGTGATGTATTTTCAGATTTATTTATTTTTTTGTCCATGTTTTTTTTGCATGGATTTATTTGCATGGATTTACTCACATGGATTTATTCACATGGATTTTTTTCGCATGAACCAATTTCCTGTTTGCAAAACCGCAACTTGAGTGAACTAAGCTAAACTATATACAACTATTTTTATTTTATTTGTTTTTTTAAATTTGAACCGCAGCCACAATTTAAAATTATCTATTTGTTTTTAGCGCATCGTTTATAAACTCAACAAACCACAGCCAAAATGAACAAGTTTGAGCTGTGCTGCTGCTACAACTGGGATGTTTGACTGATTTTTTTTTGAGGGACTGTTTGGTGAGAAGTGTTAACTGGCCTGCCTGTCACGCGGAGTTTTGGCAACCAGCACTCGATCAGCTGGAGCTTACGTTCTTTCCTTGAGATCCCTGTTCAAAAAAATCGTTTACCCAGCTCAGCTACGTGCTAGCTAGCTGCTAGCTGCTAGCTGCTAGCTAGCTAGCACATCGCTGGGTAAGCGATTTTTTTTGACCAGAGATCTCAAGGAAAGAACGTAAGCTCCAGCTGATCGAGTGCTGGTTGCCAAAACTCCGCGTGACAGGCAGGCAGAGATGTGTGACTACCTCGTCGAAGAGGAGTCACTCCAGGGCAACTTTTTTGAGTTCAAAAAAAAATGCAAAAAAATGCAAAAAAAATGCAAAAAAATGCAAAAAAAATGCAAAAAAAATGCAAAAAAAATGCAAATCACAAAAAAAATGCAAAAAAAAAAGTAAAAAAAAGCAAATCACAAAACAATGCAAAAAAATGCAAAAAAAATGCAAAAAAAATGCGAAAAAAATGCGAAAAAAATGCGAAAAAAAAGCGACCCAACCAGAGCAGCAAAAACACAAAGCAAAAAAAAAGGGAAAAAAAAGGGAAAAAAAAGGGACTCACCACTGAACCGCCTGGAGGCACCTCAAAAAATTGCAGCACTCCAGTTTCCAAGGCAGACCTAAAATTTCTTAACTCGCTCGCCAGGCAGGATTTTTTCCTGGGAGTCTTGCCTGGCGAGTTAAAAAATTTTAGGACTGCCTTGGAAACTGGAGTGCTGCAATTTTTGAAGGTCAGAAAAAACTAGATCTGTATTGTTTCTTCTGTGCTGGTGTCCCCAGTTCAGTAAAGGGTTTTTTCCTGGGAGTCTTGCCTGGCGAGTTAAAACATTTTAGGACTGCCTTGGAAACTGGAGTGCTGCAATTTTTTAAGGTCAGAAAAAACTAGATCTGTATTGTTTTACTCGCCAGGCAAGACTCCCAGGAAAAAACTCTTTACTGAACTGAGGACACCAGCACAGAAAAAACAATACAGATCTAGTTTTTTCTGACCTCAAAAAATTGCAGCACTCCAGTTTCCAAGGCAGTCCTAAAATTTTTTAACTCGCCAGGCAAGACTCCCAGGAAAAAACCCTTTACTGAACTGAGGACACCAGCACAGAAGAAACAATACAGATCTAGTTTTTTTTCTGACCTCAAAAAATTGCAGCACTCCAGTTGCCAAGGCAGTCCTAAAGTTTTTCTTAACTCGCCAGGCAAGACTCCCAGGAAAAAACCCTTTACTGAACTGAAGACACCAGCACAGAAAAAACAATACAGATCTAGTTTTTTCTGACCTTAAAAAATTGCAGCACTCCAGTTTCCAAGGCAGTCCTAAAATTTTTTAACTCGCCAGGCAAGACTCCCAGGAAAAAACCCTTTACTGAACTGAGGACAACAGCACAGAAGAAACAATACAGATCTAGTTTTTTCTGACCTCAAAAAATTGCAGCACTCCAGTTTCCAAGGCAGTCCTAAATTTTTTTAACTCGCCAGGCAAGACTCCCAGGAAAAAACCCTTTACTGAACTGAGGACACCAGCACAGAAGAAACAATACAGATCTAGTTTGACACTAAGTCACTAAGAGTCACTAAGTCACTAAGACTAAGACTAGAAATGACACACACACACACACTTGCTCAGAAATAGCTTATCGAATTATTGATGTGGAATGCATCGTACGTGCAAAAACGCCTCAGTTAAACCTGACAGGAAAGGATTGATGACACGATCTGAGAAAGATCGAAAAGTAATCCCTGTTTGGCCTCAGCTAGAAGCAACTGTTCCATCTGAAATAGTCGGCAGTAGTTCAGATTGCGAGAACCGTGCAAACGAGGAAAATAAAAACAAATTGTTTGGAAACGGCAAGGTGGTTTTTGGGTTAGTGGTTAGCAGAAATTTGACAAACAGAAATGGCAGGTACGCTGGGTTGATCAGACCAGTATCCCATGATTGTGGTAGCTTCGTTGAGTGCGGTCCCACAATCATGCCGCACTCCCCTGCCCCTGCTGAAATTCAAATTAGAAACCTTTGCTGAAATTACTGAAATTCAGGTTGAAAACCAAACTATAAGTTAAGAACCTCAGGCAAAAGACGAGTCAAGTGCAAGCTGCAAGTTAGAAGTTTTACATTTTACATCTCTTAAAGATGTTTCACACACACACATACCCTCCCGCAGGAGGGTGGAAAATTAAGGTCCCGACCATGAACTGATAATGAAAAAGAGAGGAATGAAAATGAGATGAAAATGAAAATGACGAGATGAAAAAATACTTAACCAGGACGCGAAGAGGGGAACGCAAAAGAAGAGGGAAGGAGAAAACACCAACACATGAAACCTAGCCCAAAACGGGCAACCCTGAAAAGGCAAGGGAAAAGAAAAGCGGAGGCAGACGGACAGGGGACAAGACCAGCGGAGGGGGAAAAAGGACGGACGCGCCTGAACCAACCTACCGCAGCGAAACCTACACCTACCTAAGCACGCGCAGAACACAACCTACCTGTAGAGAGGAGAACGCAAGAACACATGAGATAAGGAACCCATAGGGGACTAGTTGATGAAGATGCATCCACATTAGCATGCAGATTCCCCTCGTTGAGGCTCAATGGCCAGAGTTCAGATCAACCCTATAGACAGCTGAAGTAGTCAACCCCTGAGATACGTGCACAATTGAACCTCACCAAAGTAACCAAAAGGAAGTGACCACACCTGGAAAGCATGTCCTATTGCTTGAAGTCTCATGTAAAAGGGCTGTGGACAGTCTCTTGAAATAACGGGAAGGTTGTTGGCGCAGCTTCAGGCTACAGACTCTCGACAGCACTGAAAATGGAGATCCCCCCAACAGCGGGCAGTTGTTCAACCAAGTGACTTCGACAGGGTGAGAATCGAAAAATGGCCAGCAGTTCACTTTACTTAGACGAATTACCAATTCAAAAATTTAAATTCAGAGATCGTTTCAACGTGTCAAACTTTCGCCTGGAAAGGCTTTCTCCGAGGGGTTCATACCACCTTGACCAAACCGGTATGAAGTACACACTTGCTCAGAAATAGCTTATCGAATTATTGATGTGGAATGCATCGTACGTGCAAAAACGCCTCAGTTAAACCTGACAGGAAAGGATTGATGACACGATCTGAGAAAGATCGAAAAGTAATCCCTGTTTGGCCTCAGCTAGAAGCAACTGTTCCATCTGAAATAGTCGGCAGTAGTTCAGATTGCGAGAACCGTGCAAACGAGGAAAATAAAAACAAATTGTTTGGAAACGGCAAGGTGGTTTTTGGGTTAGCGGTTAGCAGAAATTTGACAAACAGAAATGGCAGGTACGCTGGGTTGATCAGACCAGTATCCCATGATTGTGGTAGCTTCGTTCAGTGCGGTCCCACAATCATGCCGCACTCCCCTGCCTCTGCTGAAATTCAAATTGAAACCTTTGCTGAAATTCAGGTTGAAAACCAAACGAAGTTAAGAACCTCAGGCAAAAGACGTGACGAGTCAAGTGCAAGTTAGAAGTTTTACATCTCTTCAGATGTTTCACACACACACACGGCAAATTCCCAATTGCCACAGCCAAAGACCAAGCCGAGCCCAACAGTGTGAAGGGTTGAAGTCAACGTACCCATGTACCAATGTACACAATGTACCAGATACCAGCTACTCAGCGACTTAGTGGCTGTATGGAACAGTAAGTATCAGTAACAGGCTCTTTTGCTGCTGCTACAAAATCTCGCAGCCACTCTTTCAAATTTCTTTCTTTGGACATAACAGACATAACATAGACTAGACTTGACTAGACATAAACAAAACATTCCCATTCCCATCTTCTTTTTCAAAAAATTCTCTTTCAAACTAACCTCTTTGCCTCTTTGCCTTCAATTCCTATTCCCGCGGGGACATTTCACTTGTCGGCTGCCGGGGCTATGCCGCTAGGCAGCTTGAATTGGTAACTGAGCATTGGTCTCCTGTTGAACAGACGATTTAACTCACGCCCTGTAAATTTGTACCAGGAAGCCCATGTAACAGGTAGCAGGTAGCAGATATCGAATATATCTGCAAGACAAAAAGGGCCAAAATGCCTCTGTCCAAATAACTGACTATAGAGTGAAGTTATAGTGAAAGTGAAAGCATCCATTCCAGCCAGATTCCAGATCTTAAAGTCCTAAAGTCCTAAAGTCTGCCTAAGACTCTAAAATCTAAAACTAAAATCACTAGATTTTTTTTGAAGTCCAACAAAAAATGTAAAAACTTGTTTTGGAAAAAACATGTACAATGTACAATGTACAGTGTGCAATGTACAATGTACAACAAAAAAAGCAAAACAAAAAGCAGCAAATCAATTAAGAAATTCTAAGGGAATGTGGCCTGGTAGGTATTCACAGCATTTCTTGCTGCTCAAACATTTTTTGTTTCTCAATATGCTTTGCCCAGCCTTGCATGGCAGCCCTGGCATGTCTATGATTCAAGGAGGGCCGGGGTCCTGGGCCCTGGGCTTTAAATAGCAAAGTCTAAGAGAACCTGGGTTAGCTTTGGAATCTTAGATTCTTAGAGTCTTTGAGGAAGCAGTTTGACTGGTGCTGCTAATAATAGCTGTTAGCAGTTTGCATCTAATTTATTCTTTAATATCTTGCAATTTCTCTGTTGCTTCTGCTTTCCTGCCTTAAAGCAGCCTTATGCCTTAGCCTTAGTGCACTTTTGAAATTTTTGTTACTTACTGTTACTTATACTTGCTAGTTTTGTGACCATCTTGCTTTGAAAAAAATCATTCTTACTTATGCTTGCAATGGCAATTTTGAAGGACATGATGTTTTCTGATTTGGATTTTATCATTGGTAGAATAGAAGGAATAGGTTTTTGCTCCATGTTCTTCTTGCTTGCTGCTGGTAATTTGAATATTTGTTTGCATGAGGCCAGGTATTTGCTTTTGCAACCAAATACAGATTAAGATTTGAAGTTTTGCTTCTTATATGTTCCTTTTGCCTTTGCTTGTGTATTTTGTTTTGTTTTTTTTTGCTTTTTTTTTTACTTTTTTTTTGCTTTTTTTTTTGCATTTTTTTGCTTTTTTTTTGCTTTTTTTTTGCTTTTGGATTTGTTTTTTTTTTGGGTTGCTTTTTTGATTTACATTTTTTTCACATTTTTTGCGGAAAAAAATTATTCCATGGTTTTATAGGATCTGGCTGGAAGCGGTGAACATAAGGGAAACCAAAATAAACCATCTTCAAAATCACCATTTTTATGGGCGGTATAAACAATCCACAGTCATGGTAGGTTTATGGCAGCCAGGGTTGCACCGCTCCCATTGCAGGAGGATTGGCCCATGTTCCGTTGAGAGGCGAGCTGGGTCCATTCGACTTGACCAAATAGCCATGAAATTGATTGACCAATGGACATTGTTGGCAATCCCATGGGATTTTATGTTTTTTGGGAGTCGCATCCGTATGCCTTTTCAGGAGAGCTCAATGCGGCGCCCAAAAACAGCGGCATGTGACCGGAGACGGCAGTTCGCGCTCCGGTGGAACCGGTGGCTGGTTGATCAACTGTTCCTAGGTGGATTTTCAATGGTTTTCAATGGTAGACTTGGTAGACCCAGCCACCTTGTGGTTGGACCCGGATGCCTGTTGCCCCCTCACACTGTTCAAGATGACAGATGCGCTAGAGATCAACGATTCTGTGTGATGTCACTCTTTTGCAACCGGACCCTGTGTCATCCTAGTTGC